AGATCAAAAAGAGGAGTCATTTGGCATACAACTTAAAAGAAAGATCGATGAATTCTCGCACGACAAGGGCGCGGAGGGGCGCGGACTGGTGCACACACCCACGTAAAAAGAACCCAAGTTGCGAAGCTTGGCGTGGCAAATCGGCCCCCAAGGGCTGACCCGCCGGGCCAACACATTCCTCCTATCTCGGCTGAGGAGAAGACGGTCGACGAGAACGAGGAGAGCGAGGTAGGGAGGGAGGGAGAGAGAGAGAGAGAGAGAGAGAGAGAGAGAGAGAGAGAGAGCTCTGAGCAGTGGCAGCAGATGACTCAGCCCGCAGCGGGCCGCAGCATCGCGGTGCTCAAGAGCCGCACGCCCGGTGAGACGTCGCGCGAGCTGTGCGAGTCGAGTCGTTGGTGCGGTCGCACAGCTCGGCTCGCGGCTCGATGAGACGCTGTTTCTGCTGCACAGGCCCTCGTTCCCCCTATCACGCTGGAGGGATGGCACAGAGCTCAGCGCCGGGGGGGAGAACCGTCAAATTGGACTTTAGGAGTTGAACCGTCAGCCCACGTATAGGGGGTTGTTCATCGGCCGTCTTCGACAATAGGCAGGCTCGCGCGACCGTCCCGGCCGGGCAGGAGCCTGCTCCAGCGGCTGGCTGTGCCAGTCGCGGCTGCCAGCGCCACATCTCTCAGGTACGCTACCACCTAAGAAATCGGAGGGCTGGCTTTAGTCAGCTCACGCATGACAGCGCCGTGGTGGCGATCAAGATTCGGCGCGACCGGCACAGCATCGCGGGATATGCAGTTTCTTAGCGGACACAAAGGGCCGAGGGCGAGAGGGCGAGAGGGCGAGGGGAAGAGAGGGAGGGAGAGAGGGACGAGTACCGGGCATCGGCACCTCGCGCGATGGCAACGGCAGAGGCGCCTCGCCCTCTGGCTGCATGCGCCGTGCGCGGTGGAAGAGGGCAGCCACAGCCGCATCCGTCGCGGGCGGCGGCGGCGGTGGTTCGCCGAAGACGGTCGCGTAAATTACGGCGGCACAAAGGTAGGAACCAGTGGGCGAGAGGTGGAAGTCATCCGTGTGAAAGAGGCGCCTGTGAGCAGGGCGAGACGAGGACTTTGCAGCGAGAGGGATGGTCGGATGGGGATTCGCTACACTGCAGAGACCGAGGCGGAACGCGACGCCCGCCTTGACCGGGCCGGCCCGCCTCAGAGTGCTTGGGGCGCGGTGGGGCGCACACCTCCAGAGCTCAGGCCTCTCGTCGTGCACAGCCTTCATCGCGGCGCCTGAGGCGTAGAATGGAGAAACGAATGGAACAGAGGCAAGCGAAGCGAGACGCCGACAGCTGCCAACGGCGCCCAGGGGCGCGACGCGCGGCTTGTGCTCTGGCGGTAGCGCGGCGCGCAGGGCGTTGGCGCACACGGCGGTGCCCTCCTGCAGGCGCTGCGTGAATTCGGCGTTGTCTCCAAGATCATGACTCCCCTTCTGGTGGGAGCGGTAGGCATGCGTGCAGAGCAGCGCCGGTGTCGCGCCCGCCCTTATAAGCAGAGGCGCGTACCCGTCCACGAGCGTCACCACGCTTTCAGCCAGCGACTCGGCCCGCGCCGGCGCCTGCCCAAACGGAACGCTCTGTCAGGGACTCGCATCGGCTGCAGGCAAGGCTGGTGGTGGTGGCTCAGTCAAGATGCCCCCGCGCCACCTTTGCCGGGGCCGCTGAGCCTGGCGGCGCGCCTCGCGCTGCTGCCAGCGTCGCATGTGCTCCCGGGATGTGTGGGAGCCGCATTGGGTTGATGGTTGGGAAGGCTCCCGCCGCAAGTGTGGGCGACGTTTGGCGGGAGGATGTCGGCCTGCGTGTAGTCATTCATGACGACAGTGTCCCACGGCGCCGCCAGAAGGGTGGCAACGCTGTCGGCGCCAATGTCGTGGCTCCCGTCGGCACGCAGCGCGTTGGGCGTGCCAAACTTATTGCGCATCCCGTTCCCCTTGCGTAGCAGTGTCCCATACGACGCGCCTCCGCGGAAGCAGCAGTCGTGCACCAGCGTGCGGCCGGCGGCGTGGCAGAGGGCCTGTGGTGAAGCAGTCCCGAAGAGTCAGGACGGACGGCATCCGGCTTTCGAGTGGCCCGGTGTCCAGAGCGCCTCCACGAGCCGAGGCACATCATTGAAGTAGAGGATGGAGTTGCCGACGAAAGCCACTCGAGCGCTCGACCGTCGCGGGCGCAGCCGCAGCCGCGCTATCACCACGCAGGTGACGGCTGCGACGGTCGCGAGCGCACCTAATCGCCACTCCATCCGACGACCGCACTCACTCGTACGTCCCAGATGTTCGCTCGAGGGCCACGGCATGTTGTGGGTCATCTTCTCTGTGTGCACTTGGAGACTTTAGTGTGTGCTTGTTGGGGACTCTCTCTCTCTGTCTGTGCAGTTCTAATCTGCCAAGCCCAGTGTCGTGCGAGGGAGCTTATAAAATTCTTATTCGGGTCCTCTCGAGACAAGTGGACCCGATGCCGATCGCCCATTCACATATACTCTACTCAGAGCGGTGGTTGAGGCCGATTGCCTCAACTGTCAACCACGTGGTTGACAGAGGCCTCAACCCTCAACCAAGTGGTTGACAGACCCCTTCAACCCCTCAACCACGCGGAATGGCTGTTCACACCCCCCGCGCAAAGGTCTGAACACACATTCTCTGTGAACCATTCATGTCGTCTTCTTTAACGCCTGGATGCTGCATCACACCTCCCATTCACGCACGTAGCTGAAGCAAGTATCGTAAAAACGGCGCGTCGAAGGCCCCCGCACGGGGGGATCCCGGCCGACATCATGGTCGTCCGCGGACGCGGCCCTCCGTCTCCGGAGACATTACCGAACTCAAAACTGCTTACCAAAGCCAGATACGAGCTCAGCTCAGTGAGATCTAGCAGCACATACCCTCAGTATCCAGAATAGCAAAGTCTGAAAAAGTCGGTCCGACCGCGCAGAGCGGTCTGGCTGTCTGCAGAGCTTCCGTCCGAGCCCTGAGAAATGTCGGAGGCATGTCGGCCCATGTTCGCGATTTTGATGGCGTTTGCCCTTATTGCACGTGAAACAGACCGCGCCGGCCACGCACCCTTGTTCCCGGAGGCCAACTCGAACAGGTTTGAGCAATGGCCGCCTTCCATGCTCGACACGTCCGCCCGCCATCAAGTTGTACGATGAAAAATGCAGCAGGAACTTAGTTGCCTCGAAGGCCGCCCTGCTCGAAGGCCGCCCTGCTCTCGGCATTGTGTTGTTGACTGATAGCACTGTCTGATCCAACCAGAAAGAGCCGTCGAAGAGCCGTCGAGAGCTACATGAGACCCAAGTCGTCATGATGTACCAGAAAACGAAACTAGCGCCAAAATTGAGATCTCAGGATTGACATTAATTTCTCGCGCCTGCTTTCGCTGCTTGAGGCTCGCCAAACAGATACTGCGTCTATGGCCGTGTGCAACGTCAAGTCGTTATATAACCGCGACAAGACCATCGCGCCAACCGCGACTCTGTTGCTTTTATGCGGCAGCATTCACCGTGACTCTTGCCGTGAATGGTTAGTGACCGCAATACTACGCCGTGAGCTGAGCTCACCAGCCGTTTATCTTCCTTCCCTTGCCTTCTCTTGCCGTCCGTTCTCTGTGCGCATTCCACTGCATGCATGCGGCATCACAAGCGTCTTCTGCCGGGCGCGCATCTGAACTCGTACCTGGTAGGCCATCGCTTTGCTGAAGGATCAGGCGCCTGAATGGCGACAGTGAGCGTCTCCTACTTATGGATTGCGCTCAAGGTACGAGGACCGCAAGAGCGCGCCGCAGGCGAAGCGATTTTTTGGCGGCAGGGCTGTTCCAATCTTGTGATCACGCGCGAGCCTGTGAATACGCCCCGGAGGCCTCAACCCCCAACTAAAGGGTTGACGGGGGGTCTCAACCGTCAACCAGATGGTTGAGGGGGGGCCTCAACCCTCAACCCGTCAACCACCCCTCTGAGCAGAATATGCGCACAACCCCGGGCCAGAAATCGATCATTCACAGGTCATGGTAGCCAGCACCCGAGGGTTTTACCAAGCTGCCAACCCTATTCACGCACTGTGCGCAAAAGACCCCACCAACCAACCAACTGTTGCCGGGCCCGAGTGCGCGAAGTGCGGGACCAGCCAACCAGCCTCCTGGGCCGGCCAGGGTCCTGCCAGGGTCGCCCACGGGTCAAAAATTTCTTCGCTCCGCGTATTCAACACGTAGGACATCAAAATGGGTCAAAATGGGCTATTTCACGCCTCTTCAGGCTCCCAGATCCATCTTCTCACCACTGTCCATCCTGAAATTGCGTCACGAGGGTCACAGTGGCCTGTTAGACGCGCTGGGGTGCCAGGGGAAGGAGCCGTTACGACCGTTACGGCGTGGCCGACCGTTACGCGAGTGCGCGAAGTGCGGGACCAACCAACCAACATCTGGAGGCCTGGAGTGCGCAGAGTGGGGGACCACCCAACCAACCCAGGGCCCGGAGTGGGTGAATAGGGTTGGCAGCTTGGTAAAACCCTCGGGTGCAGACGGAGAGCGATGTAGCGATGGCGTGGACCGAGCACACCTCGAGCTCTGGCCGCCCCTTCTTCTACAACCCGGCTACCGGCGCCTCGGTGTGGGAGCGTCCGGCGGGAATTTCCGAAGCGCGAGTGTTCTCGCGAGACACTCCGCCGACGCTGCGCGCCTGCATGGCCACGGACCGGCGCGTGCGGGCACTGGCTGGTGCGATCGTCCGCCGGTGTGGCGTCGATGCGCTGCCGCGTGTGCAGGCGGCTGGCGCCGACACGTCTCTGTGCGCCGACGGCCGTGGAGGCGCCTTCTGCTGCGAGTCGAACCGCATTTTCCTGTGTGCGTCGACGGCGTGGGTCTCGTGCCGCGAGCTGGCGTACGAGCTGTCGCACGCCTACAACACGTGCACCCACGTCACGCGCTGCGCGCACGGTGGCATACAGGTGGATGACGCGTCTTGCGGCTACCTCTCTCCTCCCGATCTCGCCTGCTCCGAGCTGCGCGCGGCATATTGGACGGAGCGCTGTGCGGGCCGTGCAGAGAGGGACGAGGCGCGGTGCCTCAAATGGCACGCGGCGTGGGCGCTCCGCGCTTGCTATCCCTCGGATGAGCACCACCCAGCCCATGTGCGCCACGCTGTGCAAGAGTGCACACCCAGAGGCGCAGACGCCAACCTCACGCGAGGCGGCGGCGACGATGAACAGGAAGCGGTTGGGCGCCCAGGGGAGGCGACGGCGGCCGACGCAAAGCGAGTGTAGACGGCCTTGTTCCTTTTTCATGCGTGTTGGGCGTCTGTCGTCAACATACCGCCCACGACACATCCGACAGCTCTCTCCGCTGCCTGCAGCCTGGCTGATAAAGCCGTAACACCCGCGCCGCGGAACGCGGTTAGCATGGTGTGTGTGTGTGTGTGTGCAGCCCGGCACAGGAATATACACACAGCGCGTACTCAGTTACCACTCCTCCAGCTAGGGAGGCCCGAGATCGGGACGAAGTCTGCCTCCATTCGGCTCAACGCCAGCAGCGCCGCCTACAGGAGCGTCGAGACCCAACTGTTTGACTCTGGCAAGGGCGCGCGGTGTCGAGGATGGGCGGCAACGCCCCACCTCAACTGCGGCCTGCTCGCTGTGCTCGGACTCTGGGCCGAGCGCCTCCGGCCCGAGCTGCAGCCACGACCGCAGCTTGCCCTCGCCGTACCCACTGCCGTACCCGCCGCCTTTCGCCGTGGTGTGGAGCGACGGTGCCGAGGAGCGGCGCGGCAGCGAAGCAGCCTTCGTAGGGAGCAGATGGGGCACGGCCTTAGTTCGGTATTGTAGTGGGTGGGTGTGGGACGGGGGGGGGAGTGGGGGGGAGAGGGGGGCGGGGCGGGGGGGGGGGGGGGGGGCACCAATAAACGGGCCAAAAGCCCGGGGGCAACAGTCAAAGGGCGCGGTAGCGCCCCCCCTTCGCCCTTAAAGCCCGGGGCGGCGCGGGAAATGGGGGCAAGGGGTTCAATGCCCCCCGCCGCCCCCACGGAAGCCCTCCCCTCGTTGCAAATCGCGAGCGAAGCGAGTGCCGCCGCTGCCGCCGCCCTTGGTCGCCGACGACGCCCCGCCGCGTGCAAGCCGTACCAAAGGCGGCGCGGCACCGGCGCGGCAGAGAGCGCCCCGCACCGTCTCATCGACAGCGAGGGCGCCAACGGCTCGGGCGGCGGCGGCGCGCGGCGCCTCCACGCCGCCCGAGCCGTGCAGCCCCGCCACCAACCCCGTGACGCCGCCCGCGGCGAAAATGGCGGCGCGCCCCGTGGCGTCGGCAGCGAAGGCGTGGAGGGCGTTTGCCGCGGCCTCGCGCGCCGGCTCGGACGGCGCCTTGCGGGGCCGGAAGCGTCAGCACCCAGAGCTGTGGGGGTGGTGACTTGCATCTCTGCCAAATCCCGGCTGCATCTCGGCCAAATCCCGGCTGCATCTCGGCCAAATCCCGGCTGCATCTCTCCCAACTCCCGGCTGCATCTCTCCCAACTCCCGGCTGCATCTCTCCCAAATCCCGGCTGCATCTCTCCCAAATCCCGGCTGCATCTCTCCCAAATCGGGGCTGCGTCCCGGCTGCGTCTCGGCTAAGCGTCGCCTGCACCAGCCGCGCGAGGGGAGGGATCGCGGCAGAGAGCGGCTGCAGCGGGCTCTCGGCCTCAGACTCGGACTCTCGAGGCGCGGAGTCGGCGGCGGCGGCGGTCGCGGCGATGGCGAGGTTCCGGATCCCGCGCGCCGCTGCTTCCGCCGCCGCCGCACTGCT